ATCAAACTAACATACCCGAGAAAGAGAAAATCCAGTGTCTTCAAGTACCACAATAGCATAATGGTTCTCCTTAGTAATCATCTCATAATCACATATGAAAGGTAGTCCCTAAAGCATATTACCAAAATTGTCCATCGTATAAATTTAAGTTGTTTTGGAATACTTATTTCAAAAAGTTATTAATAATGTTTGGAATCAGCTAATCTTTCTTTTAAGGTGGTTTGCTAGGCTTGAGCCTATAGCCTCGTGTTTCCAGCAACTAGCTTCCAATTGAGCTATGACCTTTTGTATACATTCTACTTGCCCTCTTCCTAATACTTGCATCATAGTACCAAATGACTAATGGGACCGTGAAGAACAACTTGTTCTCCATTGTCCATGGAAAAGTAGACTATCGATGTTGGGTATGAGTACCCAACTGTACACTTTCAAAGTATATGACAGTTTTCTCAATTGGAAAGCCAAAGCTGGAAAATCCCTATTGCCATGCTCTTCATATACCCCTACTTCCAGATGCCCAGATGTAGGTATGCATATCAACATGGATATGAAGAATATGGATAAGACATGGCATTTTATGAATTCCAGGGAAAAAGATACAAGTATAACTTTTGGATGCAATGATAAAATTTCTATAGCTTGTATGATGCATAGATACACGGGATCCAATGCATTACAATAATGTATAATGTTATATTTTTATTGATGCGATATTAACCATGATTATGTCATCGAATGTTTTCATGTATCATACGAGTTTGTGGTATCAACATTGTTGTCCAAACGTTACAACACTTGTTCCTCTAATGCAAGTATTATATTGCTTTTGATAATATATTATTTTATTATTGTCATTTTTTACATCTTGAAACTAATGGGCATTGTTGTTGGGAGAGATCAAGATCGATTGATGGCTTCCTTGGGAGCATTTTTTGGGAAGCGGTATAGTAAAAACATCTGATTTATGTACAATAGGTGTATGGTACTGCTTAATGTGAAGGTAGCATCGAGTGCGACTACCAGGAGCAAAAGTCAAATTTTCAGTATCACTCTTCTCCTGTGAGGAATCTCTCTTCTGGTTCAGTAATTTTTCTAATGATATATCCAAATTTTCCTCTTCCACCAATGCACATTTTAGCAAATTGTGACAATTCCAGATCATAGTTGTTGGAGATGATTCTGAATCGGAAACGTTTTAGGAATTGGAATTGTGGAATCCTATCCTACTAGAAGATTTCTATTTTCGGAATCGAAGTCCATACAAGAGGAATCGTGGGGTGTGAGATTCCTACTTTATAGGAATCGAGAGATTCGAATGGAATCTAGATCCCTATATATATGGTATCGAGATTCTATCCTCTTTGGATTCAAGTTTCTGGCCAATTTGGAATCAACTCATATGGAATCAAAATTCCTTCATATATGGAATCCGGATTCCAATGTCTTTGGAAATGAGTTTTTGATTTAATTCTTCTTATATGTTCTGAATTGTCTGTTTTGCAGTTCATACCCTTATGTTTTTGTTTCTAATTTGATGGAGAGGGCATCATTCAATGTGGAATCCAAATTAGACAAATATAGAATCGAGATCTAAGAGTTGAGGAATCGAGAATCGATAAATATTAGAAATGATATTCTATTAGTATTGGAATCATGATTCCTAAAACTAGGAATCAAGATTGCCGACTTCACATAAATGGATTATGTCAAGGAATTGTGGAATCGGGATTCCGGATCGGAATCACGAACTTGGGTGATAGATACTGGTAACTTTATTTCAAATAATTTGTCCCATCAAGTTTAACAATTGTAATCTATAGTCCATGGTTTTCTCCCTGATACCCATGTCAGAAGTTACACACGGAGTGCTAGAGGTGGTAGAAAAGTGCTTTGGATAAGTGATATTGGACATATTAACCACAAACAGCCACTTGGAGACATTGATTAACACAATCAGCTATTTTACTTCACTCCATACAAATATTTGAGACCATTCATACAAGAGAACCCGATAAATTATGAGTCCTACACTTCATGACTCGGGGTGAAATATATTAAAAGAGTCAAGCAATCAATTTTGAAACACCAAAATGTCCCTACGAGTTCCAGGGTTTTTAGTTCAACATCATAAACTAGACATAGATAAAAAGTAATAATGAAATTAGTTTGATGACCCATACAGATTTTTCAGGTTTGAGTTTTTGATCCACACTAACCAGATCTAGGGTTTTGGTCACCATCAATTTCTGGAACTAGGTTTTTTAGACCTAAAGATTCGATCCACGTCTACCAGGTCTAGGTTTTTGCTACCATCCGTTTTCAGATCTAGGTTTTTGAATCAGACAACAAAAAAAAAAATATCCACAAGTAGGCATTAGGGTTTTTCAATCATTCGTGATTTTCCAGGATTTGGATTTTTTACTGTATGACTATTAGAGAACTTCAGATGGCCAGATCACATTATTAAGGTTTCAAATAAATATCTTGAATCTTCTTGCTTTAATACCAAGTTAAAATACAACAAACTGATGTATAAGAGATAAATGAGTATAAGAGATATTAAGATCTTAGAAGAGTTAAGAGAGAGAGAGGGAGAGAAGGGGTCATGCAAAGTCAAATAAGTCCTTAGGGAATTAAATACAAGAAGAAATAAAAAATAAATATGAACTTAGTTATTCACAATAACTTGTCTATCTCCTTCTTGTTTCATGTGCGCATTTGTTTTCAAATTACCTCTTTCTTTTTCCTAAGAACCCTAATCGAGCAGCTTGTAGTCTTTGTGCCATAGAATACGAGAGCGCATGTTGCTACCTAGTAGAAGGGGGGGCTTCAGGAGGAGGTGGTTGGCTAGTGGAAGAGGTTGCTGCATCCTTGCCTGTAGGAGTTGATGCATCTCTTAGGTGGCTGCTGGCTAATTGCGGGGAATGCAAATGTGTTATTTTCCTGGGGTTGTGGTTTCCCTTCCATAGGAATCGAGGTCCTCTCAGGTCAAGGATCGGGATCCTTCTAGTTAGGGATTGGGATCCCTTCCAATCAAGGACCAAGATCTTTATGAGATAGAAATCGAGATCCCTTGATGGGGGTGAGCAAGTTCAGGTCAGGCTCCGGCTCTGGGAGTGAGGTTCCAGGGAAGGGGGGTCGTCATGATCTGGCTCCCCTTATCTTTGCCTAGGAGTGTCCTACGTCAGTATTGTTTTCGACACCATAGTACACTGCTACTTCAGACCTGCTTAACATGCAGAAGTATTTATGCATCCTTAGCCCCAAACTCAATTGGCTTCTTGCGTTGGGTTTTGCCAAGGTAGTTTTCTTTTCTTTCTTTTTTCTTTTTCTTTTTTGTGCCATTAAGTTGCAAAAGTTTAATTCCGTTTTCTTCTGCGGATGTTTAGACCCACACATGCACAATGTTACTAAAATAAAGGGGCAACTTGCACGGCATAGGCACCAGACAGTTGGATTCTGTCCTGTCTGGGCTAATTGAGTGCTTGGCAGCTACTATGTAAGTGCTAGACTGGGGCAAATGCCAAGGATGGATGTTACCCTCTAGGTTTATGGTGTTTTCTTTGTTTCCCCCCATTTTTAATGAGGGAAGAAAGGTAAGATAGTATTCCAAGGCCTTTCATTGCTCTTCTAGCCTTTTCTTCTAAAAGAAAAGTTGAATGAGCATGTGAAATTAAGCATGTGAAGCTTTCATGATTTGGAGAAACAAAAAGTCTCATTTCTTTAATTGATTACAATAGGAGCTCCTCTTGCTGTATAAAGGACTTGATTGCATTGGAAGATGTTTGTCAATTCCTCTATACCCAGAATATCATTAAAAAATTGTAGTGATCTAGTTATGCAGATCTTAAGTGGCATATTTTGTCATTGCCTCCGAAGTAAAATGCATACAGCACAATTGGTGTGTCTTATACAATAATTTTATACTTCACAAGTATTTGCCCAAGAAATCCTTGATTCCTTGCCTTGAAGAAAACCACATGGATGTCAGTTGCGATTTACGTAAGAAATTTCTTTCGTTTTATAATCTAAAAATTCATGTGGAAGTTACTGATGCCAAATTATTGTTACAGCCACCTAACACTCAATTGACTTTATTTCAAAAGTTGTCTCTTGCGAAAGAAGTTTCCAAATCAAAACCTTCCTCTCGTGTCCCCTTTGCTGGTGTCCATGACCTACATGATTATTCCTTTTGTATAGTGGTTTTGACGACCTTTCTTCCTTATATGAGCAGCTCCTCACCTCTTCTAAGTGACATTTCTCTATCTCACTCATATTGGCCATATATTTATGGTCCCTAGGCCAAAACTGTTGCTATGGGCCCTTTCACATATTCATGAGAACAAGATATGATGGTGATGACCCAATGTTCCATGGATCTTCTTAGACCATAAAATATCTTGTTATGCCAATGGTAACTTCCAAACATACCTCCTTTTTTACTGCTACTTTTTAAATCCTAATCCTTGATCACTTTATTATCTTATCTCATATGGTTACAGACGTTTTATAGGGATGTATTTGATGTGTATTCCTAACTACAAGTAGTGGCAATATTTTGTGTTCTATCTATTGCTTTGCGGAAGAATCCCAATATTCTGATTTCTCACTCACAAAATTTGGCGGCCTGTTTGACTGAGTGGCAAGATAGTATGTTATTCATATGGATGGTTGGCAGGTAAGAAAATAAGTTCAAGACTTTTACTAGTTTTTGTGAACTGCACTTAAATTGAAGTGGAAGTATTCTATAATCTAGTGGGCAAGCAAATTGTAGTTTGTTGGGATTATATTCATTGGATGAAATGATGTGCGGAGATGGACAGATAGTGGGACCCCACCTTTGGGGTCATGTCCTAGTCTGGTGTGGCTTTTCACTTGCTCTCTATATCACCATTTATCATTTCATTGGATGGTATGTTTTTCTGTAGTAGGATTCTAATATTATTCCTTCAAAGCTTATGCATTCATGACTGAGTTCATGAACTGATTTGACTTTTCAGGTTTTTGTGGGAGATTTGTTTATGGGGATGCGCTTGTGGTGTTAACTCCTCTTGCCCCAGGTTTTGCACAAATCGAGTGATCTTCTCTTTGCAAGACGTGTCTATCAATTGTTTCACAGGTTGGCCTTATTTATGTTTTTTTTTTGAAGTTCTGAGTTGTGACTTTTTTTAGACATAACTAACATTGTCAGGTTTTCATCTGCTAGCAATTTTATGGGATATTCATATTTTTTTTTTCTTTTCTTTAGGGATTTATTAGGGTATTGTAACAAATGGTACTCAATTAATATAAATATATATCTAGTTATAAAACGAGTGGACAGTTGGCCACTTGGTTTCTCAAATATCTCACAATTTTTTATTCTAACACTAAAAAAATGAGTGGCGATATAAGCTCTTTGCAAGCTGTCCTAAGTTGTGTCCGATATCACCGTAGTTGTTGGACATGTTTCCAAATCCAAATCTCTTTATGAATCGGAATCGAGGAATCGTGGCTGCCTTTTATGTTTTTGGAATTGATGTTCATACAAGAGGAATTGTGGGAAACGAGATTCCTATTTTATAGGAACCAAGATTCGACCAAAATACAATCAATATCCTACATAGATGGAATTAAGCTTTCAACCAAGGTTTCAAAAAATGCTAGGCGGCCGGCCTGGCTCCCAGTGCCCAGACAGGCGCTCTGTAATACAATTTTTTAAGATATATACATATATTTGCTGTCCAAATGTACATATATGCATATATTTGTGTCAATTTTGTAATCTATTGCATTTTAAAATATTGTAACATACTTTTTCTTATATACAATTATATGACATATCGCGTGTTGAGAATAAACTTATTCAAAATTTCAAAATTCAAACCATACAAAACATTTAAAAAGTCTAATAGGCTATGTAAGAGTAATAGTTTGATAGTTTCCAACTCTCCCATTCTCTATATTCCATATCCATAAACCATAATAACATCCAAGTCTCCAACTCCAAGTCTTCAACAAAGTGACTTACAAAAGTATAAAACCACACAAAAAAATAGCCCAAAAAGGCAAAAAAAAGTTTGTCTAACATCCAAAGTCTAAGTGTCTAAAGCCCAAACCAAAATGATGCAATAAAGATACTATAAAAGAAGAGAGGGGGCATCAATAACAATAAGAATCATCATCGTCATTGCTTGCATTTGCATCGGAATCGAGGCCATCATCTTCAGAATTATCACCCCTTCAATATATTCCTCTTCTTCCATAGATTTTTCTGAATCTGCCTCCTCTTCCTCAATCTCCCTCTGTGAGTAAGAAGTACCAGCAGAAGTCGTTGCTCGAGTGGCCCTCCTAGGATCAAAAGCTCGTCCCGAAGCCTCCTTGACCATTTCCCATGTCAAACCCCCCTCGAGGAAGACCTCTTAAGTATCAAGGTCACCAACTAGTCAATTTGAAGCATTCTCCATGTCTTTCAAAGCGACAAGATCCTTCTTTGGCTCGTTAAACTTCTCTTTGAGCCTATGATTCTCCCAAACAAAAACCAAATCATTAACCTTCCTTGCTCAAGCCTATTTTTCCTCTTTGTAAGCACGTATAAGGAAATGTGCATGAGTATTAGACTACTATGATCTTCTTACCTTCTATGAATCTATATTAGAAAAATGAACTTGTAAACAAGAAAAGCATATAAATAGTAAAATACCATCTCAAACGAACTCCATTTGCACTCACAACCAGAAGAGGTAGTTGTCAAACTCAAGATCTGAATAGCCATCTTTTGGAGGTGTAGAGTGCTACTCCTATGTTGTCTCCACCATTGGGCCACAATATGTGGGCAATCTTTATAATTAATTTAGGTGTTTAACATTATAATGCATAATTTTAGGAACTTGAAAGTCGAAAGAAAATTATAAAACAAAAGTTCAAACTATATTACCTGGTTTGTCTTTTTTTCTCTATCTTAATGCCATATCTTTCTTGAATGACATCAAAACACACTTGTACGAAATGAGCTCTTCGGTTGATATCTGATCTTGGATATGTAGATCGGGAACTAATCTATCAAGGCACTCATTAAAGCCATCAATAATTGTACCTTTTGCCTTAATATCAACATTTGCATAAAAGAATTTGGGGTTCAAGTTGTACCCTACTGCATGCAATGGTCTATGGAGCTGCCAACCCACTTGGTATATATAGTATCCCAAATTGGGCTGTACTTGGCCTCATAATTGCCCAAAATTCTCTGTAATGTCCTTTGCCCTTTCAAATGCATCATATATAAAGCCCATGGAGGGCAGCATCAACCAAGCACAAGACCTTCACCAAGGGGAGAAATACTACTATCACATGCTTTACCCCACGCCAAAAATATTTAGAAATGACAATATCCCATGCATTCTTTCCCTTGGCATCGACCATTTACACCTAGTCTACTCCTCTGAAGCAAACATAGACCTCAATGAGATCCTCCTGCTCAACATGCTCTATAGACAAAGGTAGACAGTAGCAAATCTGGTGACCCTGGGCCTCACTAGCTCTCTCTTATTTGTAAACTTGCGCATCATGCTAATGGTAAGTGTGTGACTGTAACCGCCTTAGCCTTAGAAAGAACTCCTTTAATTATAGCCAACTCACCAATGGCCTCAAATAAAAAAAGATCTACGCAGTTTGCAGCGCAAGGAGTCCAAAATATGCGAGACTTCTTTTGTCGAAGCAAATGACCTGCAACTAGATTGGGAGCAACATTATCTGTGACCTCTTGAATTACAAGTTGCTCCCCAATCGCCTAGGTGCCGGGCGAATCGTTTTTTGAATCCTTGCTTTCGACTTGTTTGGAATTCCCCGATATGGAATCAAGATTCTTTCATTTATGCAATCGAGATTCCTACATCTTTGGCATCGAAAGGGAACTAAGAGGGAAACAATACATCTCTCAATGCCATTCATTGACCAATATTCCATACATGTGCATTTACATTATTTGTATTTACATTGTTTCTAATATCTTAGAGTTGCAGCCTTTTCATTGGATCAATACAATGCGTAGATAAAAAATAAGTAGAGAACGTGAACTATCACTTTGGTTTCTATTGGTCACTTCGTGCCGAAAAAGATGACTACACCTTGGAGCTTGAGATTGAGTGTCTAGCTTGAGTAGTTTGATGCCATGAAAACTTCTAAACATCACTTCCTAAGAAAATGCAAAAAGAAAAGAAAAAAAGAAGTCATAGAATTCCAATAAAATGTGGAAATTAGTTTTTACAAGTGTGGAATTGAGATCATCTATTATAGAATTGAGAATTAGTAAATATTGGAAAAGAGATTCTATAAGTGTTTTAATCGAGATTCCTACAATAAGGAATCGAGATTCCAGAAAGGAAGCGGTTCCATGAAGATCTTGTTGGAATCGCCGAATCGAGGTTCTGAATCAAAATTGCGATATTCATTTAGAGATTTGGGTAACCATGGCTAACATATTTGGGTAACTATGGCTAACACCCAAAAGCCTATTGGCACTGGGTTACCAAATGAGCTATCATTGAAGTTTGGCTTTTTTATACAAGAATGAGCTAAAGGCTGGGTGATTTGGGGCATCACAACATGACATCTTGCATTCCATTTTTTTCATGGGTAGGGGACTCCTTCCCTACTTTTACGTAGAACATTGGAGGGATCTCTAGAATCTAAAGGTTTTAAAATTAACCGGAGTAAGACAATATGTAGAATGCAAGTTTAGTAATACTGTGTAGAAATGAAGTATTAGTTAGGATTGATTGCCAAGAAATACCTAAAAGCGATTATTTTTGATATCCCGGGTCAATAATCCAGGAGAATAGAAGGATTGAGGAATATGATGTGCATAGAATAAAAGCTGGGTGGGCGAAGCGGTGATGTCCATCTCGAGTTTTATGTGATCGTCGCATTCCAATGAAACTGAAGGGGAAGTTTTATAAGACGGTTGTAAGACCAGCCATGCTCTATGGGACAAAATGTTTGGCGGTCAAGAAACAACATATCCATAGGATGAGTGTGGCTGAGATGAGGATGTTGAGATGAATGAGTGGCAAGACAAGAAAAGATAGAATTCAGGATGAATACATTTGAGGGAACTAAAGGGTGATTTTAATAAGTACTAAGATGAGAGAAATTAGACTTAAGTGGGTTGGCTTTGAGTAGTATAGATTTAATAAAGCATTGATTAGGAGGTCGATTTGGTTCAAGTGGAAGGCTTTAAAAAGGTAGGGAAAAAGCCTAAAAGGATATCGATGGAAGCAATGAGAAGAGATATGATGGCTTATGGTCTGATTGAGGGTATTCCCTTGATAAAGCAGATTGGAGGAGCCAGATTTGTGTAGCTGATCCCAAATACTTGGTATAAGGCTCAAATGATGGTGATATATAGGGGTTTGCAAGTAGTGCTTAATCACTATGGCCGGAATGCCATTTATTTTTATTTACATATTTGCGTATCGTTACTTTCAAAGAGAGGAAAGATGATGCTTCTTTTGGGCCATGTGTTCTACTATTGACGGAGAACTTGAGATTGTGGAGGAGGAAGAGCTTGGATGGGTCGGTTCGGTGGTGAATGGAGATATGGAGAGACGCACTATTGGGTGGGCTGGTCAGGGGAGAGGGAGGCGATGGAGTGGCCGGGACAGAGAAAAGAAGAGACACATGAGAGAGATGTGTTATTTGGATAAAGAAAGGGTGAGACACGTGGCTAGTAGTTTCCTTCCCTTTGGCCACAAGTCTTATTCGTTATATATTTTAGAGCAAATTACGTATGAATTAGGGGGTCAATTGCCAAATGGGCAGTCATTTGCCCGAAATTACGAGTACCCTCCCCCCCCCCCTCGTGGCATTTGTTTTTGTTCTAAGTTGCACTCCTATATGGCAATTCAAATACCGGACAGGAGTAGGGCTAATTTTTAAGAGCTTTCTGGCATTTCAATTGCCGGACAACTTTCTTCATTTTAGTTTTTTAGTTGTTTGTTGTCCGGTGTTCAAAATACCGGGCAGCTCTCTCGCTCTCTCTCTCTCGCCATCTTTTGCCCCTATGAGCTCCATCTCTCTAAGAACAGGGTTCCACCAAATTTGCATGGCCCTGAAATCAGTGAATTATAGGTGAATATATCGGGGTCGAATCCTTCATGGAACATTGAATCTAAGACCTCGAGAACTTACGTTATGTGACCAGCTCTACAAAAATCTATTTATCAATGTATTGGAGGTGAACTTATCAGGTCGTAAACCAGACCGCACATCTCTTCTGTGAGTTTCAGAGTTTCTTCTACCCTACCCTCTTTAACATAGCCATGAAGCAACAGATTTACAGTCACAGGGCCAATGGTGCAATCAAATTCCTCCAATTGTTTTAGGATTCTTATAACCCCATCCATGTCGCCCTCCTCTACGAACCCCTGCCACTAAGACAACAGCAGGTTTTACCTGATGGGCCTTACAGAGAGCCTTAATGAGAATATTGAAGATGGAAACATCAGGTCTAACCCCTCTGTTACCCATCTCAGAATACAGAGTCTCCACCATTTTCAGCTTGTTCTCATCAACAAGAACATTTAACAAGAAATTGAACGTGTGTATCTTGTACAAGCCCAAAATCCCTCATTTCTTCAAACAAATCAATGGCTTCCTCTACCTGGTGATATCTACGGTAACTTTCTAGTAAAATCTGCATTGTAGCTGGGCTAATGTTGCAAGATGGGAGCTCTTTCATCTCACTAAGGAGGGTTTGGACATGGCCGAAAAATCCTTCACTTGCAAGGCTTTTGAGAATAGCTTTTCATAAATAGATGGTTCATAGATGAAGCTTTGGATATTTCGAAGAAAAATCAAGAAATTGCAGAGCGGCTTCTGCATCTTTCTGGCAATTTAGAATGCTGAGAGGGTCCTCAGTTGTGAAATCAGGAGGGATTCGGTGGATTGAAGAGGGATAGAGAATTGGGTTTTGAAGAGATGGAGAGGCTGTCGCTTTGAATCGATGCAAGGCACCGTGAAAAATTAGGTCTTTCTGATAGAAAGAGAAACTTTTGGGTGGGGGGTTGAATTGCAAAGGATGGGCTGCTGGGGATGAGAGAGAAGTGGGTTTTACGAAAATGGAGGAGAGCTCTGGATTTTGGATTAGTTGATGTCATGTATTTGAATTGCTGGACAGGAAGGCAACTTAAGGGTAAAAAAAATTCCGCATGAGGGGTGGGATGGTGCTCGTAATTTTGGGTAATTGACTGTTGATTTGGTAATTGACCCTTTTGCTCTTTATTTTTTTATGTTATATATATTTAAATATGCATAACTCAGGCGACTTACTAGGACTCGTTGGAGTAACTCACTTAGGGCGAGTCTCATGAAAGAATAGAGAAAGTATCGGAGTGAGTATAGTGCAAGTAAAATTTTCTCTAAGGGTACGCTTGTTTGAAAAAAATCTTTCTAATTTTCCAAAAGTTCCGCGTTTGACATACGGTTTCATCTAAAAGTTCAGAAAATAATCTTCGAACAAAAGTTCCCATTCTTTTGTTAAAACATAAAAGATTAAGTTCCGAAAAAAAACAAGGGGGGAATGTTTTTGTTGATCATTATTCACTATGCATAATATAAATATATAATATAACTATAATTAATACGATATAATACAATATAATATTGCTATAACATAATATTTTATTATATTGTATGTTTATATTTATTTTATTAATGTAATATATAATATTAATATATATTTACAATATTATATACAATATATAATATATAAAATCTTATGTTATATATATATATATTATAGGGTGTGGTTTCTATAAGGTTGCAACCTTAAATAATCCAATTAAGGCGCACCTCCAAATTTTATCATAACATGTAATTTTGGTGTAAAATATTTTTAGGATTATCTGAAAATCTATTTTCATATCCAATTATAAAATTTTAAAATCCAAAAACAATTAAAATCAAGTAGATCTATAAACATATGAAAATCTTGAAAATGGACAGTCTAGATAATGTGTTGTAAGATGCACTATTTCTAGGACTGAAAAACTTTTATATTTTATTATTCATACATCTCGATGGTGAAATGATCAATTAGAGGGTTTTTTTAACAGTAAAACAACTTTTTTCTGATGGAATTTTGAGGTGCATCTTTAATTCTACATTTTAAAGTTGCAACCTTATATAAACTTTTTCCTATATTATATTATAATACATCTTACTATAACATAATATTGTATAATATAATATTATGTTTTATAATATTTATAATATATATATATATATATTTATTAATTTATATTATATTATATAGTATATATTGCATGTAATATATAATATTAATATATATTTATATTATATATTATATGTAATATATTTATGATATTATATATAAAATATATTTATTATATATATATATATAATATTTAGGGAAAATTATGTATATACCGTTATAGTTTTTGTTATTACTGGAATGTCTGGTTTTTTCACTTCATAACGAAATTTTTTTAAAAAGACTATTTTTACCCTTTTTCGATTTTTTAGCAACCGAAATGGCTGGATTTTCTGTCGTTCAAAAACCGAAAATAAGCTAATTTCGGTTCTTGAACAACCTAAAATAGCGAGGTTCGTTTAAGCTTCTGGAATACAGTCTTATTTTCGGTTGTTCAACAATCGAAAATAAGACATTTTTCAATGTTTCAAAAAACAGTCTGCCCGGTGCCTAAGCGCCAAGAAATGTTTTTTCGCACGTCTCGACCTGGGCTTCCAAACACGGGCGGTTGTACCTGGGCAGGTACACAGGAAAGTCGATGTTTTTTTTTTTTTAGCTTCACCCAAAAGGGCAAAGGGGGTCATTTTGACCCCCAACTTTGTATAAATCAAGTTTTGGGTTTTATTTTTGAACCGCAAAGTGAAAAAAAAAACAAAACAAGAAACCATCAATCGTAAATTTATTTATGAGAATTTAAAGCAATTTATGAGAATCGAAAGTACTTTTTGTGGATTGAAAATGTTTGTTTTTTTTATTGAAGTTATTTTTAAGGTGCTATTGGTGGTATTAGAAGACTTTTCAGTTGATTAGTAGCTCGATTGAGGTAACCAACGTCGAAGATTAGAGATTGGGTAGAAAATGTCAGTATGTAAACTTTATTTGAGTTTTTTTTTTTTTCAATTTGAGATGTCTTCTGCGAGGTCTACTAGGGGTAGAGATCCGAGATGGAAATATTGTGTTAACCTTAATAGAAATGACAAATAAAATTATGTGCAATTTATGTGGATATATTTCTAATGCCGGCATAAATAAATTTAAGAAACATCTTGTCGGTATTAGAGGTGATGTTGCCCAATGTAAGAAAATCTTAGATCTCGTAAAGAAAGAAATTTTGGAGTACATTGACGTTGAAAAGAGTAAAAAAGTTGCAAAAAAAAAAGATATAGTATAATTAAAGTCAGGGGTCCATATTTTTTATAACAATATTGACACTGAAGAACAAGATGAAGAGGGAGAAGAAGAGGTAGCCATGATTGGTACTCAAAGCTTTGAGACCAAGAGGGCTTTTGGATCTAAGAAGGTTCGTACAAGAGGGCCTATAGATAGTTTTTTTACACCTAGCCTTGAGACAGTAAGTGAGAAAGGCAAGGGAGGAAAGGGAAAAAAACAAGTGACAATTGAAAATAGGTTTAAGAAGGAAGATAGAGCCATGGTGATTCAGTAAATTACCATGCGAGCATTTCTTTTAACACTGCTCGCTTGAATAACTTCCATTCAATTTGGAAGCAATTGGGCGATTTGGACCAGGTTTGAAAGCTCCAACTTCTTATGAGATTGGAGAGCTACTATTGAAGAAAGAAGTCGAGTACACTAACAAATATCTCAAGACTCATAAGGAGGGATGAGCTAAATTTAGGGTTTATTTAATGACAGATATGTGGAGTGATAGGAGGAGTAACATGAATTTATTTGTAAATTGTCCTACGGGTACAGTTTTTTTGCGCTCAATCGATGCTTCCAATGATGTTCATGATGTGCATTATACATTTTCTTTCATTGATAAGGGCATCGAGGAGGTTGGGGAGGAACTTGTAATTCAAGTGATCGCAGATAATGCTGCGCCCAATCTAGTTGCAGGTCATTTGCTTCTACAGAAGAGGCCTTGCATATTTTGGACTCCTTGCGCTGCACATTACGTAGATATTATGCTCGAGGCAATTGGTGAATTGCCTACTATTAAAGGAATTATTTTTAAGGCTAAGAAGGTTACAATCTTCATATACAGTCACATACTTATCCTTAGCATGATGCACAAGTTTACCAAAAAGAGAGAGCTAGTGAGGTCTGGAGTCACTAGATTTGCCACTGCCTACCTTAGTCTACAGAGCATGTATAGGAGGAGAATCGCATTGAGGTCTATGTTTGCTTCAGAGGAGTGGTGTAAGTGGTTTAGAGATGCCAAGAGAAAGAATGCACGAGATATTGTTCTTTCAAAATATTTTTGACGTGGGGTGATGCATACGATATTAGTATTTCTTCCCTTGGTAAAGGTCTTGCGCTTGGTTGATGCTGATAAGCTTTCCATAGGCTTTACATATGATGCAATGGAAAGGGCTAAGAATGAGATTGCAGAGAATTTTGGCAATGATGCAGCGAAGTATGCCCCAATTTAGGAGATTATAGATAACAAATGGGATAGATAGCTCCGTAGACCATTGCATGCAGCGGGGTATTACTTGAACCCCAAATTCTTTTATGCAGTTGCGGATATTGAGTCAAAAGAGATAATTATGGATGATTTTAATGAGTACCTTAAGAAATTAGTTCTTGATCCACATATCCAAGATAAGATATCAACTAAAGAGCTAATTTTGTACAAGTGTTCTTCGATGTCATTTGGGAAATATATGACATTAAGACAAAGAAACAAAGACGAATCAGGTACTATTCTTTTGACTTTTGTTTTATAAAATATAAATTTATAATTTTCTTTCAAGTTATAATAATGTTAAATACTTGAATTAATTATAAAGGTTGCCCACCTATTGCAGCCCAATGGTAGAGACAACATGAGAGTAGCGCTCCAAACCTCCAAAAGATGGCTATACGGATCGTGAGTTTGATAACTACCTCATCTGGTTGTGAGCGCAATCGGAGTTCGTTTGAGATGGTATTTTACTATTTTACAATTTATATGTTTTTTTTTTATAAGTTCATTTTGTAATATAGATTCATAAAAGGTAAGAAGATCATAGACTCATAGTAGTTACTTATGCATTATTTTTCCTTATAGGTGCATACAAGAGAAGAAATACGTTTGGGCAAAAGAAGCTCAATGACTTGAATCAAAGGCTCAAAAAGAAGAAAAATCAGCCAAAGAAGGACCCTATCTCTTTGAAAGACATGGAGAATGCTTCAGATTGGCTAGTTAGTGACTTTGGTACTGAGGAGGTCTTCCTTGGGGAGGGTTTGACATGGGAAATAGTCGAGGACGCTTTGTGGTAAGCTTCTGATCTTAGGAGAGCCACTCGAGCAACTTCTTCTGCTGGTACTTCACGGAGGGAGATAGAGGAAGATGAGGCAGATTCAGAAGAATCTCTGGAAGAAGAGGAATATGTTGAAGAGGGTGATGAGTCTGATGATAACGGCCTCAATTCTGATGCAGATGAAAGCGATGAAAATGATGACTCTGATTTTTATTGATGTCTTGATTGTCTTCTCTTTTATTTTGAAGTAACTTTAATACGTTATTGCACCATCTTGGTTTGGGCTTTAGACATTTGGACAATTTTTATTTAGTTATATAGTTTGTAATTTTTTTGCTTTTTTGGCCTATTTCGTTGTGGTTTATTGGTTTTTTTATAGTTTTGGAAGTCAGTTTGTTGATGACTTGGAGAGTTGTAGACTTGGATGTTATTATGGTTTATTTTATAGATATAGAATATGGAGAATATGAGAGTTGGAGACCTTATAATATCCTATTAGACTCTTAAATGTTTTGTATGGTTTGAAATTTTGAATAAGTTTATTCTCAACTTGAGAGGATGAGACATGTGATATGTTTGTATATAAAAACATACGTTGCGAACTTGCGATATTTTAAAATGGAATAAATTACAAAATATGACCCAAATACATACATATATGTGCATTTGGATAGCAAATATAAAAAAAGAACTAAGAATTTGCACCACAGAGCGCTTGGGGTTCTGGGCGCCTGCTTAGGCGTTGGGTGCCAGGCAGGCCGCCCAGGGGCCATCGAGCATTTTTTGAAACCTTAACATATTTTGTTGTTCAACAATCGAAAATATAACATTTTTGGTTATTGAACAATTGAAAATAAGAATGCAAATTCCAAGCTTCTGTCTTATTTTCGGTTGTATAGGACATTTTCGGATGTTGAACAACAAAAAATAAGACATTTTCAAATGTTGAACAACTAAAAATGACATAGTTTTGGTTGTTCAACAACCTAAAATAGGAGTGCGTATTCCAGTAAGCTTCTGGAATACATAGTCATATTTCGGTTGTTCAACAAACGGAAATAAGATATTTTCCGATGTTGAAGAATCGAAAACAAGATATTTTCGGATTTTGAACAAACGAAATAGGGTTGCATATTCCAGCAAGCTTTTGGAATACGCAGTCCTATTTTCCAAGCTTTTGCCTATTTCGGTTGTTTAAGAACCAAAAAAGGGTAAAAAAGTCTTTTTTAAATTTTTTTTGTTATGAAGATAAAACGGACATTTCAATAATAACGGAAACTATGAGGGATATGTACGTAATTTTTCTTAATATTTATGTAAGTATTTATTATATTATATATAATATTTATATAATTATACTATATAAATAATAATATAAATATGAGATTAAATATATATAATAAATATATTATTCATAATATATAAATATCTTATAGTATAATAAATATTATGTTATGTCTAATATAAATATACATTAATAAAATATATAAGATGCATTATATTATATATTATATTATGTTATATATATGTTATATATTTATATTTATATTTATATTGTTAATGTATATATGTTATCAAACACAATACTTAGTACGTTCTTAAGATTCCAGTAGATTATCAAACACAATACTCAAAACTTATTTAAACTTTTCTAAAACAAAACATTCAACTTTTCAAAAAATATATTTCAGAAAAATAAACGTCTCCTAAAAGATATGCTTGTAGTACTTCTTTTGTAGGATGTTCGTTTTTTAATGGTTGCTATCTTAATATGCAAGGAGCAAAGGTAGTGCTCGACATAGTATATTAGTGGTGGTATCCATTCCTACGGCTAACATCTTCAATTAACACCTTTGAAATGTACTCTCCAATCTGTTGAAAAAATAGATAGGGTCTGTCTTCCCATGAATTACCCCAAAAAAAAAGGAAAAAAAAGAAAAAAAAGAAAGAGACAGTATGTTAGTGTGGCCTAACAAACAGCGTTCGGTGGTAGGGCTCGACTTAGTAGGGTAGTTGGGTCGAACAATAAAGCGGTCGGTGGTAGTGCTTACTTCGTCAGTCAGTGTGGTCAAAGAAGAAGTGGTCGGTGTGTGTTCTTTGTGTACCCATTCCTTCTCCATCATGACTCAATCGAGAGAGTTGTTGCATTTATGAAGTCCCATGTTTCTCATATTGTTTGTCTTTTATGTCACTTTTGAGATTGGTTCAAATCTGCTGTGGGGTAGGTATGAAAATATTTTATTGCAAAAAATTCTTCTATGAAAATTATGTTACACACATTTGGATTGCAACAAATACATGTGAAAATTGTTTCCGTGGCAATTTTTTTTACCGAAAATTGGCCAATTCATGGGAAAATAGAATTGTATCTTCAGAGCTGCCCACTTTATCAAATATAATTAATTTCACCAAAACCACCCCATGAATTAGATAGAGAAACTATGTCAAATTTTAAGTTTTAGAGAAGAAGGAATCTTAAAATTTTGAAGAGAAATTATCTCAAAAATTTTAGAAAGAGAAGGTATATCAAATTTTAAGTGTTGGAGAAAGAAAGTATCTTAAAATTTTAGAGATAAAAACCATATCAAATTTTAGAGAGAAAGTATTTAAAAAAATTTAAAGAGAGAAACTATCTCAAAAATTTTCGAGAAAGAAACTATTTCAAAATTTAAGCTTAAAATTTTTAGAGAGAGAAAATATCTCAAATTTTAAATTTTAGAGAGAGGAAGTATATTTATATTTTGTAGAGAAAAACTGTATCAAATTTCAGAGAGAGACTATTTGAAAATTTTTAGAGAGAGAGAAACTATCATAAATTTTAATTTTTTGAGAGGGTAATTATCGTCAAATTTTAGAGAGAAACCATTTCAAAATTTTTTTAGAAAGAAACCACCTTAAAGTTTCTTAATTCCAAGTTTGTTGTATTCCCTCTTTTGTCTCTTCCCAACTGTGTACCAAAGGAAAAAAGCATGCTTGAGTAATTTTCCCGTAAATCATGTAAGTATTTTGTACATAAGTCTGTCAAACTTTCACGCATACCTGACGCCGTAGATCCTTCATATTTTCTTTCCTTTTATGGGCTCCGTTATGGATGCAAGTTTTCAAGAGAGCATGTGGTTCCTTGTTTTTTATTTTCTTTCCTTTTTTATATGCCTTGTACTTTGGATGCAATTCTCCAAACCAATCAGCTAACGTTATGCTTCATGTTTTTTTGTTTGAGAATTATTTTTGCAAATAAATTTTTACTTTACTAGTTTTTCCTTAAATGTTCTCCATCTGGTAAGTTATCACAACTGCGCTACCAATTAAAGAGTTGCATAGATCTCATATATTTTTTCTTGTACCTCATTCTCTTAAAAACCTCACATGAGGAGCACTTCGAGTTTGCTAGAAAGTATATAATGAAACCATTTACCTTGGTATAATATGGTCACAATTAATTTTGACCATTGGATGTTATAAGGCGTTAGAAATTTGGTTAGGTGAAATGGGGGCAGAAAATGGTACGATTTGTAAAATTAGATATCGAACTCTTCTTGTTTTTGGGGACGCATAAGCACTATCTCAAGACAATATTTGCCCCCATTCGACATAGTATTTGATGTGTATAAGAAAGGCAATTCGTCCTCGGGATATAGGAAAACAAAGAGGTCTTTTACATTGTTCTTAAGCTCTATATACCCGAAGGTGGAACGCACACAATAGATTCTTAAACTCTATATACCCGAGCGTGGAACCCACATAATAGACATCAGAGTTTTGATAGTTTGGATATAAGAAAACAAAGAGGTCTTTTACACTGTTTCTAAGCTCTATGCACCTGAGCTTGGAACCCACACAATAGACACCAAAGTCTTGATAGCTTAGAGAGAGAAAGAGATTAAATTGAGTAGAGTGAGAGAGAGAGTTAGCTCACTGGTTTGCAGACAATGGATTATTGAGAGAGGTTCGCAAATTGTTCTAAGTGTCCAAACTCGTATGGGTAGGATGTGAGCATGCGAAGTGGAAAGTGCGTCATCAAGTGCTCGTACGTCATTCTATCTCCTTTGTACTTAAAGTATATTGCATGGGAATGTGTGCTCTTAAATATACTTCAATAAACTTTATCTTCTTCAATGTGGGATTCAAACTCACATCTTTTTCTCTCTACAAAGCTTTTTAGGAAAGAACTATTAAACCAAAGTTGTTTTGAAATACACTTAAGTATTTTTCAAACAAAAAATACTAACACAGGGTTTTTGGAAACCCTTAGCATGTGGAATTGAGAATCCCAAATACTGGGAGCACATCCAAGATCGTGTACATCATTGGTTAAATGTGAAGTAGATGAATATCACTATAAATTGAGTGCAATAAATAAAACAAACATAAAACTCACACCACAACAACAAACGATATGCGTAGTTCATCCCATAGGGCTACATCCATGGCATCGGCAAGTATAAATTCACTATCACAATGAAGATTACAGTTTTGGGTTACAAGAGATATACCACTCTCTAAGCATCGGTAAAATCTCATCACCGATCTTTCCTTCTAAACCTGCTCTTCCGACCGAGCAACACCATCTATCAATACCTTCTTTCCGACTGTAATACCCCTACTGAAAGATAACATCGAGAGCAATTGAGTGATTTTTTCTCTCTAGAAGTGGAAACCTTACCAACTCAAAGCTCATGGGAATACCGCCTCTCTTGTAGGCCATGTCTCTCTTTTTTTTTTTGGAGACGTATCTCTATCTTTGGAGATTCATTCCTATAACTCCCAAAGAGGTGACCCTCAAAAGGATTAGTATTATGCTATCTTTGATCTCCTCTTATAGAGATCATTTGAGCTTCTTTCTTGCTCCTCAAGTAATCCCTTATCTTTTTCCCATAATACCCTTAATCATCTAATAAAAACATAGGTATGGTGATTTTGAGTATCACCAAACCTAACTTTCTCCAATCGATAGTAAAATCCTCATATTTGTCTTGTTGACATTCATTAGATAGATTTCTTGATTTTTCTACACTTGCCTTCATTATAGAATTTTCACAAACACTTTGCATCCATATTTTTTCACTTCAAACCATGTATCCATCAAACTCCACTATTCATATTTTTCTTGATGCAAGCCTTAGCCCTGTACACACCTTGTGCTTTGATACCAATTGTAGGGTTCTTGCGAACCCTTAGTTTGCAGAACCGGGAATCCCAAATATTGAGATCCCACCCACGATTGTGTACATGATTAACTAAATGTGAAGTAGATGAATACAACTATAAATCGAGTGCAAGAAATAATACCAACATAAAAATCACACCACAACAACAAATGATTTCATGGTTTATCCCATAGGGCAACATCCACGGCCTCGGTAGGTAGAAATTTAATGTCATAATGAAGATTACAGTTTTGGGTTACAAGAGATATACGTCTCTCTAAAATCGGTAAAAGACCATCATCGATCTTTCCTTCTAAA